AATGGATAAACGTTGAGAATCCAAATGAGTTTGAAAAGTGGATGTATGCAGCTCCAACAAAAACTTCCTACCTTTCTTCACTTCATTGGTTCAATAATGATAACAATAAGGTAAATTTGTGATTCATTGATATATTTATTACTGATGAATAACTCTTATTTGCAGTGCCTGCCTATCTGAGAGAGAACATGATTGAAATTATCTCAGAATCAACAGTTCATACCTATTTTGTTTATGGGGAAATGTCTCCAGGAATTGGAAAAATAAGTATGGTTGTTTTTCTTTCAAATATTTTCATAAGAAAAATAAAGAAGCAAATTCAATGCCTTTGACTTTTGAACTGCAATACACAAAGCTGGGCAAGAAAATAGACATCATGAACATGTGCAGGTGGGTAATTTATGGTTTTATTTGTAATGCTTGACTCATATAAAAATCTTGTTCATGACATCCTGCCTAGGCCTCCATAGATTCTTATTTTGTAGTGAAATTGCCAATGCAGATTGCATGTACTTCCAAAATCATTAAGTTAAAATACAGCTCCCAATTACATTCATATGAGCAAAAACAGTAGCATATTTTATAGATATATAATAACCATGGTACAAGCAGGTCATTGTAGGTAGCCGTAGGTAGCTTACTTCATAGCTTGAATTGAATCTTTGAACATACATTGAAGTGACACAATCTCTTTCTATTTGAATATTTAGATTGTGTAATAGCTAATAGATATGGTTTGTTCATAGTAGGTACTAACATTTCTTCAGTTTTTCAGCAGGGGAGGAGTTGCCATCCAGGGTATCTTGCAATTGAGTGCAAATAGTTACACAAATTGAAACCAAAACCCAGATTCCTTGAAGTTGAATTCAAGTTTTTAAGGAGATATCACTGATTATTTGGGTACTTGAACATATCCATGACCGAGTCCATGACATTTCAAATTGTATCTTGGAATAATGTATTCATAATTTTACTGCTTGTATGTTATTATTAAACTGTATTTATTCATAAGTAAAAGTTCTACTTTTTTTCTTTTTGTAATGTTTTATTGTAGGTTTTCAAAATTCATATTTCAATTCCACAACTACCTAAATCAACACCTCATTCTTTTTTGATGCAATTTCAAAGTTTCACTTTATAATCTTTACTGATTCCTTTTAAAATAGGTACCTACCAAGCTTTTGCTCATTGTTAATTTATTTCTACATATATGAAAGTCCTGGATTTCAAATTCATTTTCAATTGTAAATTTTTATGAAGGTATCTTGTAAAATAATTCAGGGAAAAACAGTATACATGAGCACTAAGGGAAGGAGTATACTGGAAGATCCTTCTATTTGTAGGTACTTCTTTCTTGACTTCTTTGGAGTGGCATAAGTATAGTAAAACACATGTTATGACAATGTACTTTCATTTTCGAAAATTATTATTAATTTAGTTCCAAAATATACAAAACATAATGAACTATATACAGATTGATGATAGATATTTTCAATTAGATGAATTATTTAGGATTACAAAATGATATCAAATCACAAAATCTATGATAATATACTGTGTAAATACATTAACTGAAATCCTAGGTCATTTGATCAATGTTTTATGTGGTAGAATTCCAAATTATTCAATGATTTCATCAATATGGTAAAAAAAACTAGCTTTACAAGATATCAAGTGAATTCCAAGAAGAAAACTCAGTCTAGGATGCCACCTACCTCAACTCTAAGTATATTAGGAATATTCACATTATGAAAAGTGTGTTATATGGATACAATTCACACACATGGCACATAGGATCATGACAATTTGCTGTTATTGCAGTGGAGCACCATAATATATGAGGTATGGGAGTTGCACTGTAAACAATCCTCAAAGCCTGAAAGTAATATTGTTGATGATAGGCCATTGATAGTTGTATCAACTATTAAATCCACAGCTGTGTCCACAGTAATGTCAGGATGCCTTTGATGTTGAATTATTTCTTGGTTTAGACTCATTAGAGCTGGTTGCTGCTGATTTCTATTATACAGGGTGTAACTGAATAAGTGTAAAACATTTGAGGGGCTGATTCCTCATCGAAAAAAAGATGTGATCTTTCATATAAAGCAACTTCATTGGGGCATCCCATGTTAAGATACAGCCCCTTGAAGGGGGTACATAAAATGTGTTCATCAATTTTTTTCACAAGCACTAAAAAAGTTACAGTATTGAAATTCATCTGACATTTTCTACTACCAAAAAGACACTTAGCCACTAATTTATTTGGTTCACCCCATAGTTGTGAGGGGTGGAAAACTCAACCCCTAAATTTTATTTCCAATGTAACTTTTTGTCTTAATATTTGTTTACCATTTAAAAATTTATTTCCGATAGCCAGTTTCATTCTAAATAAAAAATGTCCCTTGAATTTTTTGCCCAAAATAAACCAGTTGGCAGCAAAAAAATATGTCGAGATCAACTACAGAGATACATCGACATAAATGCGAACTGGATTTATTGTCATTTTGTAGTTACTACCTGCGTTAAATAATTAAAGGGATTAAACCATGGGGTAAACCAAATAAATAACTGGCTAAGTGTCTTTTTGGTAGCAGAAAATGTCAGGTCAATTTGAATTCTGTAACTTTTTTAGTGCTTGTGAAAAAAATCTTTATGTACCCCCTTCAAGGGGCTGTATCTTGACATGGGATGCTCCAACGAAGTTTCTTTATATGAAAGATTTTATCTCTTTTTCGATGAGGAATCACCCCCTTGAATGTTTTACACTTATTTAGTTACACCCTGTATATAATTGCACATGATTCTCATGGCTATAATATTTAGCACGAAATAGTCCAATAGGTTAACACATTGTTTAGGGATGGTTTTCAATATGTTCACAGAAGGCTGTTCACTGTTGAAAAACTCCACTCCTGGTATCACCATTTGTGGTCTGTAGGATCCTTTTGCTTGAAGAGTGGAGTTATAGAGGTATGATGGTGAATATATCAGCTTCTGATGATAGTGGATATGCTTGTGATTTTTGATATCCCATAAAGCTGTCCCACAGAAATGCACTGGTTTGAAGAAAGCTCAGACTATTTGGTCCACGATTCAGTCAGTAGGTAACAGTTATTTTCCTCACATCACGATGAAACAGTATCATCCAACGAAAAATATTATGATTTCAGTAAAAAGTTCAACAAAAAACACAAATAACACGATGAAATATCAAGAAGAAAATGTATGCAAATCTCAAGAAATTTTGTAAACAAACTACATACTCTTTGCCGCCATCTTGTTTTGAAACAGCGCCCCCAACGGTCGATCACCTTGCCAATTACTTATTATCACTGATTATGGACAGAAATATGATTTTCTTCATGTTTGATGCAAAGTTGATATATCGTCAAGCATTATTTAGAAACGAAATTCATTTAAACTGATCTTTTCAGTACTGAAAAAATAAATTTAAATGAATTTCGTTTCTAAATGCTTGACTCAAACATAACAGAATTTTGATGTTATGTTTGCATCAAACATAACAGAATTTTGAAGCGGAGATTATCATTTTCTGAAGAAAATCATATTTTTGTCGATAATTAGTGATAATTAGTAATTGAAAGTTAGTAGCATGATGAAGCTACTGGTATGAAGTAGTTTTATCGAATTTACAATTTTTTTAATATTACAGAAATTTCGAAAAATTTTAAAAAATATTGAAATCTAAAAAATGTAAAATTTAAATGGAAACAACCTTTTCAAGTAAACTTTTTCGATATTCGAACAAATAAGCCTACTTTCAGCGATTAATTTGAACAAATTTCATTTTTGACATGTAGCGAAAGTCACGTGACCCCGATTGAGTAGGCCATCTTTCATCATTTTCGAAGCAAAACTTAACGTCCAACTCGAATTTCAAAATAAGTTATTAATAAAAGTTTTTCCCATATGATGCCGACTTAATGAATGACACTGTATAATACCAGCAATAGGATTCAATGTTTTCCTCAATTGATCTATATGTAAAGTCCACGATAATTGTTCATCAATATAAAGACCTAACAATGTTGTTACAGTCGTATTCAATAAAAAAGCGTACAAGTATTAAAATGAGAGGATTTCGGGATCCTAGTTCAAGTTGTGTAAAACTGGCTCAGCCAATGCTTTGTGTTTTCGAGAACCTATGACAACTTTACTGTCAACATATGGTAAACAATCATTCCCGATCGCCCGTTTTATGTAATATACATGTACGCTTTTTTTAAATGCAACTGTACATTTGTATATTCAATGGATTTTTTATTGAAACATTGGTTAAAAACATTTACGGTTGAGTGGAAGAGCAATTTGCGATCTAGTCGTGAAATTGAACTCTGCCGTTTGAGAAACATATATGTATAATAATACCTGTTGTACATTTATGCTGACTCAATAAAATCATTTATTATTATTATTATTATTTTTATTTTGGGGTATTATTCAATATATCCGTTTTTTTTTTTTTAGATGTAGATATACGTAGATTTACTATAATTAAGAGTCAACTTATGGGTCGTTAGTCAAGATGATATTTGTTTCAAATCATTTTCAATATCATTATTGATATCGTTAAAATCTTTTGAAGTATAGATTATTGTTGTATCATCTGCAAATAATTTTAGTTTTCCTTTCAATTTTAAAGTAGATATTGAGTTAATATAAATTGGAAATAAAATTGGACCCAAAACTGACCCTTGCGGTACACCACATGTAATATTCATCAAGGAACTACAAGTATTATTCAATCAACATACTGTTTCCTACTCTTCGAATAATTTTGAAACCAATCATGAATTTTGCCTCTGACACCTATTGATAATAATTTAGTCAATAAAATATTATGATTCACAGTGTCATATATATATAAACCAAGATGCTTCTTGGGGTAATAAAAAACAACAACAACAACACGAAATAGTTTGTTGAACGATCGGAGATTTCCCCTCATCAACATCTGATTGTTTTCGTGTTTCCTCCAGGCCCGATGCTGCGACACGGCCCACCTCCGCCGCACTGCCTGCCCGCGATGGGCATGCCGCCCCACCGAGGGGGCGGGGGCGGAGTGGGCGGCCCGTCGTCGATGCGCCCGCGGCCGATCCCGTCGCGGGGCGGCCAGCTGCAGGTGGCGGGCGTCGTCGTCGGCTCGTGGGGGGCCAACTACGGCTACCAGGTGAGTCTTGGGGGGCGGGGGTCTTTGATTTCAATTTGGTGTTGTGACAGGTGGCAGGAGGTGTCTGCCATAACGTGATTTAACTTTATCGAAGGGTGTCCCTAAAAGGTCTTCACGAAAAATTACCACATGTTCCTTAAACAAAAACAGTTCTATACAAGCAAACTTGCCTCAGTAGAAAGTTGCTTAGTTTGGACGCTAGACGGCTCTGAAGTTGAATTTTCAAATAGTTTTTTCTTCATAACTTTGAAACGGCTCATGAGATTTCACTTCCAGTCAGCTGTTAATGATCTATAAGGCACAGATCCGACCTGTCCTTGAATACTGTTTCCTTATTTGGAGTGCAGCACCCAAACATACCCTGAAATTGTTGGATTCTGTCCAAAAAAGGGCAATTTGTCTCGTGGGTGATGCCTCGCTCACAAACTCACTCACTTCTCTGGAATACCGTAGAAAAGTTGACGATCTGGCTCTATTTCATAGATATTTTCATGGACGATGCTCTTCTGAAATATCAACAATTGTTCCTTCCTTGGCAGTCCCCGCGAGATTAACCCGTCGAGTCGAGTCTTCGCACCCTTCGTGGTCACTTTGGAGACCTGCAGAACAACTCTTTCCAAAGACTCGTTCATCCAACAAACAGCGAGACTCTGGATCACATTGCCAAGGGAGGTGTTCCCCGAGGCATATAACCTCCAGAAATTCAAGACGAACACCCAATTCCTACCTTATTTCCCTTGGTTCTCACGATGTTCTCTGAACATTACAGGATATAACTTTTCGTGAGAACCAGAACATAAGAAAAATGGATACCTTTGTATACAAATAGCTATTTCCGTTGTCCAATTCAGGGTAACGCCCGCCCGCTGTTACCGGCCGGGTACAATCCGAACAACGTGGGCGGCGGCGGAAGGGGTCGCAGCGGCTACTCCAACAGCTACGGCCGCGGCAGGGGGCAGAACAGGAATAGGACTGGGGGCGGCGGCGGACCGCCTACCTTTTCCGTGAACAACAGGAGGAATCAGCAGGTGAGATGTTGGTGCTTGGTTTTGGTGATGGCGGTTATTTCTAGCATTAAAAGTGTTTAGTATCGGCTAGAGTCAGTGGATGGTATTAGTTGGATGAGAGTTTTGATACAGAAATGACAACTGTTAGTGTTTTTGAATGTTTATATAAATTAAGTTACACACTTTGCATTGTGACAAGAGCACCATAATCGTTCCGGGCTTTTTCATTCAAAATTGTTTGAATTTGACAATGAATTTTATGAACTTCAGAATTGAAATATATTTTTATTACCTATTAAGAAAAAAGCATAAATGAAATTGTCCTGCTGTGTAATGAATTGTGGGAATTCTGAAGAGAATGGATTTCATACTGTCTGTAGGTTAATCGAGGAGGTGGTACATTCATTATTCCAGATTTTTTGGGATTTCCTCTCCTCCTTTCTATAAAATAAAAATATGAATATTACTTCAAAATACCTGTAGTAACGACATATCAGATGATTTGCTCCAAAATGTCACTGCGTTTAAAGAATTTTCCTATCAGAGAGCCTAAAAGAAAAATTCACTACCTTGTCAGTGACAATTTGTATTGAAAAAAGTTTGGAAAAGAGAAATAAAGTTATATAGAAAAAATATCAAGTTTTTAGTTAGCTTTGGACGTTTCGGAAGCGATCCCCTCCCGTTTTCAGCATAAAAAAGGATTTTTTGTATCGCAAATTCGTATTTGTCCTGACACTTTTCAGTTATCACTTATAGAAACAAGGAGAGAAAATCCGAAAAAATCTTTGATAAAGAATGGATTTCATTTGTTTAATTTCACGAAAGAAATATCAACCATTCCCTCATAGAAGGGATGTATGAAACGGCCTGGATGGAAAATTAATTTGTAGACGAGCAAAATTTGTGATGTAATTACATATATTAAAATCCACTTCTTATAATAGCAGATTGGAATGAAACTATATTTTAGGCCCATTTTCAAACAGAACATTTTAAAATCCGTTTGAGAGAATCTGCTATATTCCATTAATTTACAAAACAGACTAATTGAAAAAAAAAACAATTTCATCATCACACAAAATGAAAAACTTAATTATCATCCAGAAAGAGGAAATGATTGTGAAACTACATAATGAAATTGAAAATTTGTGAACGAAACTGAGGAAATCAAGTCAATTGCAATGTGATATCATTGAATTTTAAAGTATCAGTGAAAAGTGAATGCAGCAAAAGGTGGAAAATCAAAACAGTCTTCATGTTTTAAACTTAATCACTTGGGTACAGTTTTGCATTTACGGAAATTTTCACTCGATTTCGCGATTTGATAACGAGTTGAGAATCATGCCAATTGGATGGTAGATTTCAAAAACCTACCTTCAGTCGAAACCAAATTCACGGCACAGCGATTCATTTGCTGCTATTATTCCGGACATACTACCATCGTATCGGGCGAGCGAGCGAGTAAGCGTCACGTTGTTAGTAAAACGCAAGAATACAGTGAAGTTTTCACTTTGAAACAGCAGAAAATTGTGAATGCTAGTTGAATATTCAAAATTACTCTAGTGTAGTGACAAATTATGTGAAAATTGCCATAGTTAATATCCTGATTTGATGGCAGTGATTAATAGTTTTTTCAATATGGACTTAAAACTGTGAGTAAACACCTGCCTACTAATATCTGAGGAACCCCCACTTCCAAATATTTTAATCATTGATCGAATCTCGAACATTTCGATAGACAGTGCGGGCTGTGATAAATCTTCGACTCGCCAGTAGTAAAGAAGACGGAGGAGAACGTGCTAATCAGCTAGCAAATTATGGGCGACGAAGATCGCGATCTTACGAATAAACAGCTGTATGAACTTTTATCCCAAAATCTGCAGACTGAAGTACTAACTATTAGAAATAGTTTGAACTCAATAGCGGAAACACTGGAGGAAAAACTTGCAGCTGCGAATGAAGCTGTAAAAATACTCGAAGAAGAAAATGCCAATTTGAAAACGAAAGTTTGTTATTTAGAAAAAAAGGTAAAAAGAAACAACGTTGTGGTACATGGTCTCAATGTTGGAAAGAATATTGTCCGCGATACTGTTGAACAGTTAAACAAATTACTAGATGTGAACATTGATTGTGAACAAGACATAAACAATATCTATCAAGTTGGAAACCCGGAAAACAAAAGACAACCTGTTCTGGTAGAGTTTTGCACCACACTCAAGAAGCAAGAAGTACTTAGAAATTGTGGAAAGCTGAAGAATACGAATATATTCGTTAACAACGATTTATCGAAAGAAGACAGAAAGATACAAAAAGTTCTAAGAAGTCATCTGAAGAGATACAGGAAGATGTAAAAATCAAAAATAATTCACTCATCGTAAATGGGGTCGAAATACCGTATGAGGACCTTGAAGATACCGTAGAAGAAGATAAACAGGAACTAGTTCGCCCGACACAACAACCTTCAGGCACGAAGAAAGAAGAAAAAGGAAAATATCCTGCGAAGAAATCCAAAGAAAAAAAAGAAGACCCGAAGCCATCAACAGCGCCCAAATCCCTTCGCTCGAGGACTCATTCCATTAGCCAAAAATAGTTATTGATCAAATGATTCAAATGTAATAAAAATGGATCCATTTGTAAGAGATTTTGAACCACTCCAAATTGATACGAAAATAATACGTAGTATTAATGAATACAATAAACTAAATGCCCAGATATCACATAATTTCAAAATTTTTCACATAAATATACGGAGCATACACAAGAATTATGACGAACTATTGGTTTTCCTAGAAAATTTGAAAAACGATTATGATATTATAGTTTTGACTGAGACATTTCAGGTTTATGACACTTCCCCATACAGAATTGACGGATATGATGTCATTTATAATGAGTCAACTCTTAACAAAAATGATGGTGTTTTAGTTTTCATAAAAAATACTATCAATTACAGTCAGGAAATTACTGAAATCGGTACTATAAAAGCAATAAAAGTAAAACTCATTATGGACAAACAAAAAATACAATTAACCGCTCTTTATCGATCACCAAGCACAAATCCATTCGATTTCAATAGATGTTTACTAGATTACTTGAGTAACAATTCTGAAAAATCTGACTATAGCATTTTTGTTGGAGATATGAATATAAACATCTTGTCAGATGTAGATTATGCTCAAGAATACTTGAATATACTCTATATGAACGGTTATATCTCATGCATCAATAACTATACAAGAGTACAGAATGATCAAAAGTCTTGTCTGGATCATTATTTTGTTAAAGGCGATAACATCTCAACAACACCAATTATACTCGAGAGTGAACTTACTGACCATTATCCTATAATGTTGCACTCAAGTATAGGAGAAAAACAACAAAAAACGCCCAACCAAAAAATAAATGTTAAGAAATACATCAATTACAAAAATTTGAAGAGGGATTTAGGTAGGGAACAATGGGAACATGTATTTATAGGAAAAGATTTGAACAATATGACAAATGAATTTATGAGTATATTAGAAAACCTCGTCAATAAAAATACAAATTGCGTCAGAATAAGAAAAAAAGAAAAAAAGAGGAAACAGTGGATAACAGATGGCCTTCTGAAATCAATCAATAATAAAAATGAACTATATAAAACATTGAGAACTAATCCAAATGATGAAGCCTTGAAAACGCAATATAAACAGTATAAAAATAAGTTAGCAAAACTATTGATGAAAGCCAAAACTACATTTTTTAGACGCGAAATTCAAAAAAATGGAAATTCTTCTCAGAATTTATGGAAAACTGTGAATTATGTATGTAATAAAACCAAAATTGAAATTCCAATAAATTCAATAAAAAAAGAAAATGGTGATACAACAGATGACAAAAAACAAATAGCCAATGCTTTTGTAAAATATTTCAGTGAGCTGGGCGAAAAGTACGCAAAAAAAATCAACGTGGATGGAACATTCGAACACAATATAAATAGAGTAACTAAAACTATGCAACTTTTTCCAACAAATCAAAATGAAATAAAAAACACCATCGATTCATTGAAGGATAAAAAGTCTCCTGGCATTGACCATATTCGGTCGGAAACACTAAAAGCAATTGGCAATGAAATTAGCAAACCAATGATGATGATTTTCAATAAAATGATTGAAAATGGCCAATTTCCTGAATGTCTAAAAATTGGACTTATCAAACCGCTATTTAAAGGCGGAGATAAAGCTGAGATGATTAGCTACAGACCTATATCACTTATCAGTAATGTTGGAAAAATTTTCGAAAAACTAATAAGACAACGTATCTGTGATTTCCTTTTGAAAAATAAAATTCTTTCTTTGAATCAGTTCGGGTTTCAACAAAATAAATCAACCGAAGATGCAATAGCACAACTAGTAAACTATCTCTACACTGCTTTAGATCAGTCATCTCCTTCATTGTGTATATTTGTAGACTTAGCAAAAGCCTTCGACACGGTCTCCCACAAAAGGTTACTAGAAAAATTCGAATTATATGGATTACGAGGAAATATATTCAATCTTATCAATAGTTACTTGTCGAAAAGAAAGCAATTTGTCAAAATAGATGATGTACTAAGTGAAGCTGGAATTATTAAATACGGTGTTCCACAAGGAACGGTTCTAGGACCAATACTTTTCTTGATATATATCAATGATCTACTTACCCAACAATTAAATCATGGAAAAATTATTAGCTTTGCAGATGACACCGCTATCTTGTTTAAAGCAGAAAATTGGACAGAGGTTAAAAATATCGCTGAAATAGAATTCCGTAAAGTGAAGTGCTGGTTTGACAATAATCTACTAACCGTCAATTTCAAAAAAACTCTACATGCCGTTCACTTCTTATGAAAATAATCTACCAGAGCTTGGGCCATTAAAAATTGACAAAAATCTAAGTATTCCTGAAACTGAACAATTGAAATATTTAGGCGTCATCATTGACAGGCACCTCCGCTGGGACTTACAAATAAAAAACCTAACAAAAAAAATTAGAGGACTATT